AATGCTGCGTGTTCCAGGCGAATGAAGGGGGTTGTAAGTGAGCGAGTGCTTAAAAAAAGAAACAATCGGACGTATTTCTTTGGAAAATATACGAGCTTATAAAACTATGCCGATACTTTCACTTTCCAGTGCTGATGCATGAATCTATAATCTGTGAATGCTAATTTTGGAAAAGTAGCTTTCAACAGCACCTCCAAATAAAGTCTTTTGCTCGCCCATCCATACGCACACACGCGCGATCGATCACTCCGTCTCCCCTCATCCTCCCCCACCCAACGAAGTTTCTTATCCCGTAGCGCATGTAAATTTATCCACAAATCGCTCTCTACGGCTCCCGTAAGCACCCACAACACGGTATTTGGCTCTTCTCGCTCTATCGCGCGCGCTCTCTCTCTCTCTCTCTCTCTCTCTCTCTCTCTATCTGTTTTAGTGGTTCATTCTGCTGCTCGCCCCGAGCAGCAGGAGGTCAATGTCTCTCGGACCTCTCTTTCCCGCGCTCGCCTTAAAATACTTACCAAGTCCGCGTCGATATTATTTCCGTCTCGCACGCACGCATGCAGCCCTCCGCAGGGCACCACCATCTTTTGCAATATAAATCGAACCTACAATCCCGCGTTTACGCCTATAAATCGGCGAACGAGAATCCGCACGAGAGAGCGTATTTATTATTGCCCCGGTCGCGTGAAGTTTGATAATGTAACAGCGGGGCCACGGGGGCGTAAAGCTTGCAGCGCCGTGCTTTCGAGAGGGACCCGTTGTATGCGCTCTGGAGGAGGGTCGGGCGCTTTGCGTGGGTGATATGAAACGAGCGGAGCAAAGAGGGAGATATAGTGAGAGAGCGCGGGGGTGGTTGGTGGATACGGGGGTGTGGGGCAGGCGCGCCTGCACCTCATAAACTTAAACCCTAATTAACCGGCGCTACGGCTACTGTTGCTCGCGGGCTCTTCTACACTATGCGCGTATGGTTCTTGTTCGTATATACTAACGCACTTTGACTTGACTCTCTCTCTCTCTCTCTCTCACTCTCTCACTCTCTCACTCTCTCTCTCTCTCTCTCTCTCTCTCTCTTCCCAACCCCTCTTCGGCGTCTCGTTCACGCAGCTTTTGTATCTCTTTTGTTTTGTCTCCCTTGCACGCTACGACCTGGAATCGCTTATATTCCGCAATTCTTAAGGGCATGTGTATTCGCGTTAGCAAACAATTATCCAAGATTCGTGCTCATTAAAGAAATTTTACTCGTCGTTGCCAATCTATTTCAACGGTGTACGTCTCGGTCACGCAAATTCACCGAGAATAAATACTTTTCTGACCATAGCGTTAGTCTCGAGAAAGTTACCTTTTACACTTAAGCAAACAACAAGCAGTCCACGTTTCCTTTGATATTCTCAAATTTCCTCGATTAATGCGCACACGCAGCGCGCAAAACTAATAATCGGTATAGTTAATCGGAAGACCATTCTTTTGGCTGCGTCATTTATTGGCTTAATTATCTTGGCTACGATTGTCAGAAATGCACACCGTCATGTCTATTAGAATCTTTGGCGGCAGTCAACGCTAGTTAGTCTCCACCCGGAGCTTTACCCACGTTTTTTATCATCAGACTTGGCGTAAATTAGCTCCTTGGCCACGAAACTATCCACCAGTGCTATCTTTCGCTCTGCCTACCCAGGAGACGAGTACGAGTCTCCGTTTCGTTCGCTCTCCTTGTCTCTCGCTCTCTGCCCGTCTTTCTCCCGGAATTTCAGCCAAAACAAGACGTAGCTTCCAGCTAGTGGTTTTTGTGGCTGCTGGCGCTACTTTTACGTGCCACGTAAAGCCAAGACATGTAGTTGCGCAGTCGCGTGGGATTACCAAAGTTGATTGCGTGGTATATGCAGCCTCTGTCTTCGGGTGTACCTTGAGACTCGAAAGTCCGACCCCGGGTCTTACCGACTTTAATGCACTAGCTGTTGCCGTGTACCCTGTAGTGCGCACCATTGGCTTATCTTCTAATCTTGCTGACTTTTCTGCTGCTCCCGGAACTGCTGAGCATTGAAATACAAAAAAAAGGCCAATTTTCAGTCGAGTAGGATTTTGCGTTTTTAAATATGTTGTTGTTGTTATTTGCTTTACTTATATTGCTTATTTTCTATTGGAGACTAATAGGGAGAGCAGAATTTCATCGGACTTTCGTCGTACTCAATTGTCCGATGATAATTTTTATTTCGAATTTATTTCAAGGTACTTTTCAAGCCTCACCCGACGTTTAATATTGGAAATCTCGAATTCTTCATTTTAAACGTATTTTTTTTTTGTTATTAATTATATTTATCGGCCTTGAGAGGATCGTTGTTTGAAAATTTGGGGCGACTAAAACCTTTAATCCTATAATAAAAGACCTCCGAGACACAAGTATTCCGAGGTCCCACAACGTTCTAACAAAATTTATCTACTTTGGAATCTTTTATATCTAAATATTGCTTTTATTCATCATTATTAATCAATCATCATCAGACATGACTAATCGAATCTCATCGTGCCAAATATCAAGCACATGGACAAAATCATTCACACAGCGTGCTATTCCAAGCTAAACAGGACGGGGCCCTCCCCGCGGGATTCTTATCGAGGAAAGTCATCGAGAACTACTTTTGGAAGGATAAAGCCGGGGTTTACGATTCCTCGCTCGTCCTCGCGTGTCTCGCAAGTGTCAGGTCTATGCTGTACATGAGAAAAGGCTGGCCAGAGGGCACAGACATATCCACCAAGAGGCAGCGCAGCAACGCGGAGGGAATATTTATGGTTGCTGGAGCCGAGCTTCGGTCAGCGGTAATACACCAGCCAGAGGAGCGAGCGAGCAAAGCAAGCACGAGAAAAAGTAAGAGAAAGAACCACGGACGATCGATTCTCAGGAAGATCTTACGCGATACTCCAAGCCCTCTCCGTGTTGTCCGCGAGGAATTCGACGAGAAAAAAGAGAAGCGAGATGAGAGAGAGAGAGAGAGAGAGAGAGAAGAGACCAAGGAGACTAGGATTTTTATCCCTTTTTTTCTTCACTCCCACAGCATTATAGGATCCAGAAATCAAAAGAATAATATAAAACGTCCTGAATGTCGAATTATACGCCGTTGCATTCTGTACGCGTGACGCTACAACGCGCGACCTTCCTTGTTCCTAATATCTACGAAAATGCTTTTAGCATTTATCTTCAAAGCCATTAATTCGTGCTGTCTGTATCTATCAGTTGACGATGTGTGGTATTTATAACTTGGGAGTGAGCAACTAAACAGTTTTCTCGTTATCTCTAGGCGTTTTTCAAAATGGATTTCTAAATGCGCAGAATCTCCACGTTTAAACATTTTCGCTAATTATGTACACTTTATTCGTTGATTAAAATACCGTAGAGCAATGATATATCACGCTTATACTCTCTTTCATTCTTGTAGTTCAGATCATGTGAATTTTCATTACTATAGCGTACCCTTAGCATTAGACTGTCGCTCTTGTAAGGGCTAATTTCTCTAGCTTTAATAGTAATTGTCACAGCGACTATCGTTGAATTACATTCTATGGCTTTCTCTCCACATACGTTCAATCCTTCTGCAATAAATATTACTTCTAAATATTGCATTAATTATTCATACTTTAAAAATATGCAAAATAGTTAGATGTTATGTTACATATATCATAGATGATAGCGATAAACCACTCGGGCATTCTTTTCATTATTCATCGTTTTCACTTGAAAGCTTAAATGCATTTTGAATTATTATTATACTTTATCTCAAGTCCATCATTTCACTCAAGTCAATTATTAAATTAACTACTACTCAATTGGTTTTACTTAATTGTTTTCATAAACTCAAACGAGTGATATTAGATTATGAATACTTTGTTAGCTATGACAAATGTCACGTAACCTAGGAAATTTAATAAGTTTATATATGCCTTGAGTATCCTTTAGTACTCGCCATTTAATGAAATCAAACGGAATTTAACATTTTAGTCATCTGCACTTTTATCATAACAGAAATTGTTATGCAAGCTACCGAGTAACATGCAACTACGTATATATTATTATTTACTTATAAGCAATAAGAACATCGGGCCAGGAATAATACATTTTGCGTTCCATTGGGGAAAATCACGCAGGCGCACATCTTCACCGTGTCCGAGCGTACACGTGTTTGCGCATAGCCAAGATGTGGAATAAGAGAAGCAAAGAAGATTCAAAGTATCCCCAAGGAGATCAAAGATGAAGTATCAGGAAGTAAAGCAGAAAGACCGAGGGAACAGATGTCTTGGCATGTCGACTTGCAACACATACGTCAATGTATCCCAACTGTCGCGACTTTCCCCTTAAAAACTGTTTGTGTAAGACGACGATAGTGCGCGCGCGCGTGTGTGTGTGTGAGACAGAGAGAGCGAGAGAGAGAGACAGACAGACAGAGAGAAACTGCGTCCTCCATGGATTCGTGCAAAATCACAGAGGATTATCTCGTAATAATCCCGACTTACTCAACTCACACGAGCTGAAATCCCGAGGACCTTGAAATTATAAAAGCGAGCTGCTCGCGGAATCCACGCACACCGTAGCTCTGACTCAGCGCGTCCGCCATTACTTTACGAGCTCTCGTCTTGCTCTCTTTCTCTCTCTCTCTCACACACATGCGCGGGCAAACACAAACGTTTGTTTCAATGGCAACGTTGTCCCTTGGATGCCCGGACCGGCTTTCGCCGGCTAGAGTTGGGCATTCACGACAGTGGAAAAGTCGAAATTCCAAGTAGTTGAATAGTAGTAGGATCTTACCGTGACAAACTAGGCCCTCCCGCCGTCCTGGAAAATCCCGGCGGCTCGTCGACATTTTCCCGGGGCTCGTGTAGGCGTCGACGTACGAGGCGGCGCCGCGCGCAACATGGCGGCTACTCGGGTCGATGCGGCGACGGTGGCCGCCGTGGTGGCGCGCGCGCAGCCCGGGTGGGGCGCGACCGCGCGCTACCTAGCAAATATGGCCGACGGCGCTTCGGCGCGCCGAGATCGCGGCCCTTGAAACGCGAGCGCGAGTCTCCTTCGGCGGTGACTGCCCGAGTCCAGGAACCGGAAGGACCTCCGCCCGGGAGGCGCGGCCACGGGGAGTCGAGAATGGTCGCGGCTCCGGGGCCGAAGGATCCTGGCGTCTCGGACGCGGAGGAGAGAGGAGACGTCGCGGCTGCCATCTTAGGGACGAGGCCCCGCCGCTGCTACCGCCACCGCCGCCACCAACGCCGACGCCGACACCGCCGTCGCCTGCACGTGTGCGCCCTTACACATGCGTGCTGGTGCGTTCCGTTTATATACATGTGTGTTTAATTCCTTAGTGTTTTGCTTATTTAGCTCTCTTTCGACCTTATCTCCATTTGCCCAATCCTCGCTCATTAGCTTTCTATCTGTCTGTCGTTCTCGCGCTTGCCCCCCCCCCCCCCCCCCCCCCCCCCCCCCCCTCATCATCCCAAATCTCTTTCTCTTTCAGGCGCGCGCGCGCGTTGTTCCCTTCATCATTTTGTCGGGTCGGTCAGGGCGGTGAAATTTTTTTGGGTAAGATCGTCCTTTCCTATTGAGCTAGCGATCCCCGAAATGTAACCGCCGAACCTCATAAGCCTTGTAATCTACTTGTTTGCCAGCCCTTGAGAATTATTTCTTCTAGACTGGATAGATATAGGTGGGCGGTTGTGTTGTGTTGTGGGGGGGGGGGGTGTATTCGGCAAAAATCAATGCGACTTTTTCTGCGACGAATCTTTGCATTTATGTGATTCGTCGCTTTGTCAATGATGGATTCCTTGTTGTTTGCTTGTACTTAGTGCTCGCGACCAGTTAGTCGCAACAGTTGCATGGATGAACCTTTGCATGGCCACACTCATGGAGTACTTGTGTGCTTTTGCTTTTATTAGCAAACTGAGAATGCCCGCCCCGTCACTTTATGATATCGTGAATGCCATATTGACATTGTCACAAGGACGCACCAGGGTGTATCCGTTTCTCCACACTCAGCTCGTTATAATATTTACGATGGAGTCAAGGCCGCGTATCTCCTGCGTTACTCCTGCTCTTTTTTTCCTTCAAAACAATGTCTATTTGTATTAAGCACTTGGGCGCTGTGGCAACGTATTAACGTCATAATTATCGAAAATTATTCAAGTGCATTCTTATCGTTTATGATAAACTGAGAGGAAGGTAGGGCAATAACAGGCACTTTATTAATCTGAATTTTGTAATAACGTTTAAATTGCTCATTGTAGATATAGCACTTTTATGTTTTCGCACGTGATACAATCTGCATGACTTTTGATAAGTGTAATCGCTCGGTCCGAAAGTTTATTGTACGGCATAAAAGACGTTAAGCACTCGGCATATAATTAATAAAGTTATGCACTGCGATTGCTCAGCGCGTAGTACGAGCAGTTAAAGTGGCTTAGCATCTTAAAAAGATAAACGTTGAACTAGTTATGCAAACCAGTCGCTAAAATGTTTTCCGTAGCTGGTGCTCGAGCCGATTTTTTCCATCGACGTATCAAACATTCAGCTCGCGAACTCTACGCCACGGACAAAATGGCTAATGAAAAATTGCGGCTAAAGAGGACGATAATATGGCCGGAAAGAAAAGAAAAAAGACGGGAATTTTCTCTCCTGTGCTGGCACGCCTGTTTCAGTCTCCCGATTAGGTTAGCAATTTTTTTAAGTCCCATTGTATAAAATTGCCCCGTGCTATAAATACGCTTTGCCTGCAATTGCGGAGTGGAAAAGAAAACGAGTCGCGTGCCAAAGTGCTGAGTAAGATCACAAGCCGATTTATCGCGACGCAAATAGGTATAATGGCCCTCTCCCTTTCTCTTTATCGGCGAGCGCGAGCTACTCGCGTGATAGAGAACAGTGTCCTGGAATCTACGTTACGATCACCCGGATCCCGTATCCGATCTTCTAAACGACCCCATAGCGCCGATATTTCATTAATGCGCTCGGGCCCTCCGTTTATTGCGCGACTCGCGACATTTGCCACTATTGCCACTATTGCCACCATTGCCACAATTGCCACCATGGCACGACACTACCCCGGGAACGGTCGTCGACGGGAAGTTGGAGGGCGACGATGGCGTAGTTCCATGGCACTCGTCCACTCGTTTCTTCAAATGTTCTATCTAACCGGGCTGAGAGCTTGATATACTGGGAAAGTCCATAAGCCCTATTATATGTCGACGGGGACGGGCGCTTTCCAATTACAAGTTTTTCCCGTGCCTGCAAGGATTCGTCATTTTGAATGATTCCGATTGCTTGTCAGCAACTGTAGGCTGGCGAAAATCAATCGATAATCAACCTATCGCGGATTAATGATGAAATCTCCATAAAAACGTTCGCATGACAATGATTAATGCTTAGCGTCGAGCCTTTGTTCAGCCTTCCGTCGGATATTCCACATTGGTCGATGTTGCGCCTGCGTAAGCCTTTAGCCGGCATGGATTCGTAGCTCTGAATTGACGTCCGGTTGTTGGGAATTCTAATTTATATTGCTCGCACGAATGCTATTCTCTCGTGTTTTCAACCGTTAAAACTTTTACATAAAATAATTATGCAAAAGAGGTTCGAGACATTAGCTTGTAAATGCAAATGCGCGCGGCTAAGCTGCGCGCTTCTAATGCACAATCTACATTCTTACAATGATAACGAGATGATTAGTTATTACAGTTTAATAGCGGGGATTTCAGGGCGCCATGGGAATATTAAAATTCATTCATTTGATAAATTTCGTAATATGAAGTCGTTATTTTAAAACCTGCACAACCAAACACGAATTTTCATGGTTTGCCCATACTTAATTGGCATTTTATTTATTTCTTAGGTTATGTACGGTAGTGTGAAAGCTATTTTCGTCACTGCGAGATGAGGTTTTGGCTGAGTCGTTGAGTGTCAAGGAAGGGAATCGTCGTCGGTCACCATTAATTAACATTTATCTTCGACAAATGAATATTTATTACATCTACAGCATTACTCTCGAAAGGCCCAAAATTATTTCTACTTTATGATATTATCATAGGCATTAGGCAATTTTTCAATTCTCCTTTATTTTGATCCTTAAATGCTCATATCAATATTTTACCTTAAATGCATGCCAAAAAAACATAAATTTAATAATTTCTTAGGCACTCTAATTAAATTGATAAAAGACATGTAATTCCATAAATGCCTTGTACTCTTCTCGATAAATTCTCGATAAATCATAATTGCCTTTGTCACGATTGTCATTGACGAATTGGCAATTACGTTCGGCATTACGCCATTGACGCTTTATTTATTTATTTGTTCATTTATATTGCTTCGTTCGCTTCGAGTGATCAGCAGCATCAAAGGTAAAATGTTAACTCGTTGTAAAAGTTATTTTTATCAAATACCATCGATCCGCTAACTATCGTTAACATTCGACAAAATAATGTCCCAATAAGAGGCTATGTAATTTAATAAGAGATAACCTCATCGAGTATACCTTACATGCGCCTACACAACAACAAAACACGCATGAATATATACGTACACTCTCTATAAGTACTTTGAACATTTTCAAACGAAAAACAGCAGCGCCCTAAAGTTTTAATATTCATTAAAGATCTCTTTATTCCACCAAAGTAAACCTTTATCTTCAATCGGCAAGCTCAATTTCACAAGTTTTATACGCCAATATCATAGTAAAATTACCTCTTTGTTTTGTTGTTTTTATTTCGTTTTCTTCCCTCTGTTTTTTTCCTCTTCTTTTTTTTTTGTGAACAAAGCATCATTATGAATAACCTACCAGTATTACCACCAGAGCTTATAATGCTATAGAGCGTTTGTTGTAAATTACAACTAAAGTCCCAGAAATGGAAATTACAGGGACGTTTTAATCATTTCTACGCTTTAATGCAAAATGATTGGCACGTGTGTTGTTAAACGCAAGCCATAGAGAAAGCTCGAGTCGAGACGTGGTCTGTTCGTGTATGCGCTAACCGCGGAACGTATCGCAATCCTCGTAAATCAGCACTTAATTGAAAGATTGATCCGTGGACGCGGTGGCGGAACTAAAAGTACTCGCTCGAGTTCGCGCCACGGCTCTGCCACACAGGCAATATACACCGAGTTTAGCCGCACGGGAACTCACTTAAAACTCGTTAGAGAACGAGTGAGAAGAAGAAACGAAGAAAGCCGAGACAGCGTATAATGGATCAAGCTAATAGTCCGTAGAATCTTGGATCGAGAGAGTAAGAGAGAGAGAGAGAGTGAACAAGAGGGGGAGGGAGTTAGAGAGGGGGATTCGGAAGGTAGGGAGGAGTAGATACAGATAGAAATAGAAAGAGAGAGTGAGAAGAAGAAAGGACACGTCAGCGAGATAAGGGTTTCGCTCTTCGTAAGGGGGATTGACTATCCACGAGCGAAAGGACTTTGGAATCAATTTAGGAAGCACTCCAAGCGTTACTACACACGCGCACGCACACACACGCACGCACACACGATAGCTATTTGGTGTGGTTGTGTGCTACTCACACGCAAGCACGCGCCCGCGCATAGTTTTCAATCGATTATCCAGACACGCGTCTTTCTTTTCATTTCGCTATACTTCGCTACAGCAAAATTGAAAGCTCCTCGCAGACTTTTAGGGATGTGCTCCTCCTCCTCCTTCTCCTCCTCCTTTTTCTCCTCCTCCTCGTCCGCCTCCGTAGGCCTCGAATCTCGAGATGCACTTGCACGGACCTCGAAAAGAGGAGTATAAGAGAGAGGAATCGACGATAAAAATTTATCACCCGTTAAATTATAGTTTCAACACCTACCGAGACTCGCGCGTGTGCGCGATTCGCTGTCCGATACGTAATTAAATTTTATAATGAAGTCTTCGCACGTATACACTATTTTCGCTAATGTCGCTCACCATTTTATTATAACGTATGCGATACTCTTTCTCCTCATCCTGGAAAAAACTGCATGGATTATACGTAGATCAAAGTGCGTAACGCGATGCTACGGAGGACAATTACACGAGCTTTTCTGACTTATCGCTCCGACAATATCATGACGGGAACGCGAGCGGAGGTATGAAAAATTAAAGGGTACGGCGACTCTCTTTCAGTGATACACGCCTTAATTGGCTTTCGGTTAAACTTGAGTGCTTTTTGCATCGTGAATAAGTAAAGCTTTTGCTCTTGCATGACCGCTCATCGTAAAAATATTCAATTCTGATAATAATTACATGACTTTATTTGTTTTGTAGAATTCTAAGGAAATTCGAATTCTTTCATGAATATCCTGCTATATGTCTACTATT